AGCCAAAAAGTTTGCTTTACAATCTGACAGATATAAAAATTATAATGATTTGCAGTTTAAATATGACCATACATATTTAAATGTAGTTTCAGTATTCTGCAGTTATAGTTTAACCATTACTTAACTTTTACTTTACAATTTAATAACTGACATGCCATTTATGTGTACTTAGAGTGTTTTTTCTGTTATTTCTGCTTTTTTTTTATTTAACTATTTTAAAGTATTGAGTCAATCATATGTATTATAGATTTAGAGGTTATGTTTTTATGTTTCCAGTGTTTCTGGGCACTGGGAGCATGTCTAGAGGTGGCACTGGCTTTGGTAGTAATGCCAACATTAGGTGTCCATTGGCTGCTCGCTCTATCAACAATACCATTGTTGATCTTTGCACTAATTTGTCCTGTAAGTATCTTTATTGTATTATTTTTCGATTTGTCCCATCTGTGCTTAGTACTTCGTACATTTTATTAACTTCTTAGGTTAACACCTGTGCCAATGCATTTAAGTTTATTTTGATACAAATAAAATGTAAAATTAATTGGTTTTAATATCTTTTGGAATTTCGTATTTCAGTGGCTACCGGAATCTGCTAGATATCACGTGGCAAGTGGACAACCTGATAAGGCGTTGGCAACATTGGAAAAGGTAGTTAGATAGATCAAAAATAGTTAAAAAGCTAACACTTATAAGTTAAAAATATTATATAAAATATTTATATTAAATTTCATTATGTGAACCGAAAGATTAAATAAAAGCAAATTAATAGTTTTGTTAGTTTAGTTCTTAAAGACGACAGTTTTAAATGATACTTGACTACTAAAATAGTTCCAATACTATTATTTTTTATATCATAAAGAGGAAAGATTTGTGTTTTTGGATTTTCTTAAGTATCTAAAATTACTGATTTTAACATTGCTGTGTTAATACTGAGTGACAAAGTTACAATAATCAATATTGCAAAGAGGACAGATTTGTATTTTATATGTAACTAATAAAATTTAAAACTACCGGATCAATATCTAGAATTCTTTTACCACTAAAATACTACATTATTACTCAGGAACCTAGATTTTCTTTACACTAGATAGTCCTGTCCCACCAAATTCTAAATTGTTGATAACAATCCAATATGTTAAAAATGTGATGGAAATATCGAATTTTGTTACCACATCTGACAGTGACGTCATTTTTAAGCTATTTGAGCCTCTATCAGTCAGTAGTGGGATAAGCCCGTATTCTTATTTCACAAGAACATTTGTATATTTTCAGATAGCTCAAGACAATGGTCGTCCAATGCTGCTGGGACGTTTGGTGTGTGATGACTCTGTGGGCATCGGGCAGCGAGGACGTCTGAAGCACCTCCTCATCCCACA